CCCCCTCCCCCACTGCGGGACAGAGAGCAGGTGCCTCAGCACCCCCTGCCCCTGCCCATCCTGGACACCTGGAGACAGGCCGCCATCCCCAGTGAGGGGAGGTGGGTTGGAAGTGTCTTTCACAGACACATGTCTACGTCCTAACCCCCAGAGCCACAGAAAACGAGCTCATTTGGAAAAGGGTCTCTGCAGTTGTGACCAAGTTAAGACGAGGTCACGGTGTATTAGGGTGGCCCTGATCCAGTCACTGGTGTTCTTGGAAAAAGAGAAAACAGACGCACGGAAGACTGACAGACTAGAGGGCCGGCCGAGGACGCCAGCAGCCCCCGCAGGGCAGAGGCCTGAGGAACCGCTCCTGGGCCTCTGAAGGGAGCACAGCCCGCTGGCTCCGTGATTTTGGACTTCTGGTGTCTAGAACCATTACGCGACTACACATTCCGGATGTTCTGGGGCCGCCTGATCTGTGGTCTCTCGTTACAGCGGCCCCAGGAAGCTGATGCACGTTGCCTCCAGGCTGTCAGGGCTGGAGCGAGGCCGAGCGTCAGGAGCACAGTGCCAGGGAGGGGGCACTGGAGGGGCTGGACCCAGGGGCTCCTCTTCCTCCCGAGGGCGGGGCCTGGTCCCACGTACGGCTGTCCCTCCACAGGCCCCGCACGGGGCCTGGGCGGCTGGCCACGCCTCTGAGGCCTAATGTCCCTGTCCCCTGTCCTTGGTGGGCCTGCACCAACTGCCTCTCAGGCCGGTGACGGACCAGAGGCTCCACTTGTCCACGTGAAGAGAGCTCAAGGGACACAGGACAACCCTGTGGGGGCACAGCGGACCCCTCCACGGGCCCGGGACAATGTTTTCCACCCTTACCATGGAATTTATGTCAGAGTGCCACAATTTCATTTAAAAAATGATGTCCGTTGTTTTAATCTACTTTACAAAGTCATTTCTCCAATTTCCGCAACCGTTAAAGAATCTGGCGGTATATCGTTTATGTAAAGAACGAGTCATACGAGGGGAGGGCACTTCACGGGCTTTTCGCAAACGTGTTACTGCGGGTGAGGCCCACGTCTCGGGATGCGCAGAGGCCGGCACTCGGGGGGTCGAACCTCTAGGCTGTGCCCTGGGCAGCCAGATCGCCCTGTGCCCAAGCCCAGCCCAGTCCTCTCCACCCTGTTTCACAGCGTCTTTAGCAGAAGACCTATCCCCCGTTTTCCAATAAGCTGGATTATTCTGGGCATCGCTGACTAGTGCCCCTGAGACCTGGATCTCGGGTGGCCCTGGGGCCCGCTTGGTCTGACGGGGCAGCAGGAGCAAGTCTAGTGGCAGGTGCGCCAGCCAGACCCACGGTGGCTGGAGCGGCCAAGGAAGCCCAAGGTCACCAGCGCTGATTTAGGGGACAGAGGTGGGCATCTCTATGTTAAAGTAAAACAACGAAGCTAGTTCTGTTTCTTCCCCATTAATCCATCTTAATCAGAAACAAGAGCGTTCCAGATATCAGAGGAAAGGGAAAAAAACACAACTGGCGTTATTTTTTGGTTTCTCCTTCGAGGGTAACCCTGCATGGACACGCCGAGTAAGATCAAAGCCCCGCGCCGCAGCCAGACAGCAGGGGTTCCCCCAAGGAGGGAAACGCTGCTTGACAAGCTTTGCTTCTGCTGAGCCCACTGTGGGGACAGAACCAGGACGAACACGCGGTCAGTTACCTCCTCCATCCGGAAAGAACGGAAAATGTACACGTAGTCGCCCGGTCGGCCGACAAACCTGCGAAGAGTGGGGGTGGTGGGAGGGGGGGCAGCGCAGGGAGACCCCGAGGAGGGGGCTGGGCCCCCCTGTACCACACCCCCAGGCTGAGCCAGAACCGCTGTGCTGTGTCGAGTTCCAGGGACTCCCAAACCCACGGAGGTGAGAGGAGACGGAACCTCAGTGGGAAACCAAGAGGCAAGGGCCCCTCCCCCACAGGGGGCAGGGTGGGGGTGGGGAACGGAGGCTAAGCAGCCGGACAGAGGACCCTGCCACCTGCCAGGTCAAGTCAGGTGGGGGAGGGGAGGTCCCGGAGGCAGCCTCTCCATCCCCTGCAGGACGTTCAGGGCAGGGACCTCCCAGGGCCTGCTCCGCTGTCCTGCATGATCTCAGGGGAGCCCCGACCCCTTGGCTGGGCTCTGTGACCCTGGGGTGGGAGGGTGGCCACGAAACCACACGATGCTGAGGAAGAGGACTTTGGAGAGGTTCTGGGATCAGACCTGCTAGCCCCTGGCAGGAGGGGCGCTGGGAGTCTTGGGGCGGTTGGCCACAAGCCCCTCCAAGCCCAGGGTGGCACAGACGGTCCTGGCATAGGGTTCACCCACCACTAACCGGAACAACAGGCTAGCTGTGACTCTGCCCTTCTCCTGACACCCCAACTTGGTCATCCCGCCCTCCTATGAGGGCACCTGGAGCTTGCTGCCCGGGGTCCCCGCTGCCTAGAGTCCCTGCTGTCTGGGGTCCCCGTTGCCTGGGGTTCCCCACTGCCTGGGATCCCCACTGCCCAGGGTCCCCGCTGTCCGGGGTCCATGCTGCCTGGGGTCCCCATTGTCTGGGGTCCCTGCTGCCCAGGGTCCCCGCTGTCCGGGGTCCCTGATGTCCGGGGTCCCTGCTGTCTGGGGTCCCCGCTGCCCAGGGTTCCCCACTGTCTGGGACCCCGGTAGAAGCCCGGTCTCTCCATGAGCTCGGTGGCAGTGAGAGCCACACTGAGCACTCTGCCCTGGGCCTTGACCCCCACCCACAGGGAGGTGGGGGAGAGTCGCTACCACACTGGGAGGAGCACGTTGGGAAAGACAGTTTCAGTAACTGAAGTCCCTACCTGCCTTTGAAGAAAGCCACGTAAAAGATGGGGGTGTAGGAATTCACGAACTTTAGCAGGAAAGCCTTGAAGATGAGCCTCTCCTCGAAGCTCTTCTCTGTCTTTGGGACCTCTAGAAGGAGTGAGACACACGTGACCACTTGCCTCCCCCCCCATGCGAACGAAGCTCAGAGAAGGTAAGCGAGCACCTGAGGCCCCGCGGCAGGAAGGTGGCCAAGGTCGCACACTCACCAATCTTGGTGAGCCACCTGGCGATGCAGCCGTACACCTCGTCCAGGAGGATGATGACCACCAGGTTGATGATGACCGCGGTGGCCGTGACCGTGACCCGGATGTTGGACCGCACGGACGGGGAGGAGTTCATGGCCAAGGCTGCAGCTGTGGAGATCCTGTAGATGATGACTCCCAGGACGATGGCGAAGGTCACCGCGATCTGCAGAGGGAGGAGGTCCCGTCAGAGACCCCATGCCCCCTGGCTCCGCCCCCCGCCTGGCTCCGCCCCCCGCCTGGCTCCGCCCCTGCCCAGCTCCGCCCCCACGCCTGCAGCAACTCCACTTCAACAGGGAGATGGGCTCTCCTCACCCCCTCTACTCGATGGCAGAAAACCTTCACAGATAGATGAATGAGGGATTAGTTTCTGCTTTATGAAAAAAGACTGAGTTCAGAGAGACTAAGTAGCCAGGCCAGGGCACCCAGCTCACCAGCCGGGACTTACTGGGTGAGACCACCAAGCCTGACATTCCCGGGGTCTCTGCTGCTGCCTGCCGCGGGGCACCGAGCCTCCTTGCCCGCCCACTGGCCCCAGCAGGGCACAGGGTGGTTGAAACCCCAGGGGCCCGCCTGGCTGGTGTGAGCCAGGCTGACTTTGCGGGGAGGGCTTTTGTGGCCCTGAGTGGGAGGCAGGCGGTAACGGAGGTTGGGGGGGGCAGCCCCAATATTGGGCAGGCAGGGCCGCAGGCCTGGCTGGGACAGACAGACTGGGACCCTTCTCCCAACCTCTCCAGGAGCTCAGCGCTCACCTGGCCACACCTACCAGTGGCCCAGAACATTCCAGCAAACTCAGGCTGGTGGCTGCCTGGGAGGCGGCTGAGCACTGCTGGGATGGTGACTTTATTCCACGTGGAGCAGTCTCTCTGCCTGGGTTCCTCTTCCTCAGAGGCCCTAACTCCCCGGACAACCCCATCCTCACACTGTCCTGAAGACGCGGACAGCCCCCGCCCCCCACCAGGACGCACTGAGGACGGATTGTGGCTGAGTCCAGCTGCCGGCCAAGCCTGACTCCACCTGTGGGCAAGGCCCCGTGCCCTGCCCGTTCCCTTCTATGTGACCCGTGTCGCTTCCTCCCGTGAAGGGTGCGGAGGGCAGGCCCTGCCCCGTCAGGCTGGTTGCTCGCGGCTCCTGGGACCGCCCTGCAGAGGCATGGGGCTATGCCCTGCGTCTCAGGTCACAGCTTGGAAAGTCTGCGGCTGCCGCACCCCGACGGAGGCTGCTGCCATCAGAAATCTAGGAAAACTCCTATATTAAACTTCGCTTTTGCACACAGCTGTGGGTGCCCGGCGGTGACCACACCCTGCTCAGGAAGCCTTGGCAGCCCACGCCACACCCTGACCCAGCTCCCTGGCCAGCTCTGGGAGCCAGGGCTTTCCTCGGAAACTCCCTGGCTCCTGCCAAGGGGCCCCTCCCGGGGGAGGGCACCACCCTGGCCCCAGCGACGGCCCCGAGCCAGCACACGGAGGTGCAGACGGGCAGCAGACCCACAGGGTGACTCAGTGAGGAGGGTGTCCCCCTCTCCCTGCCCAGGGGCGGCGTGCCCCCTCGACAGCCTCACTTCCCATGGGCAATCCCCCCTCTGGGTTTAAAGGGCCCCAGGGGTCTGGCTGGTGTGTTCACAGTGGCCTGCCCGGGCCCGGGAACGTGGGGGCGCACTCGACCAGGGTTTGCTCAGCGAGCAAAGCTCCTGGGTGGGGGACAGAGCTGGGACTGATTCATCCCTGAGGGATGAAGACATTCCCCAACACCTCCAGTCGGGTTCACACAGAGCAGGGGCACTCCAGGGGCAAGGCGCCTGAGTGGCACCTGGTGGCCTGGGGAGAGGGACAAGCCTGTTTGTGACCTGTTTCCTCGTCAGCAGGAGGGGGTGGTATCAGGCTAGGCAGGCTGTGAGGACTCAGTGGGACCCCCCGCAAGGCTCTCAGGCCACTGGCCACAAACTGGGCACCGGTCCACGGCAGCCAACCCCAGGCCCTGGGTACTAGCCCACACCTAACACAAAGCCCCCGGGTGGACAAGCGGCCAGCCATTTTTACAGTGCCCGCAGGTGGCCCCGACCTCTTGGGGAGGATGAAAGAACAGCTAGCAGGGGGCTGAGGCCTTCCAAGGATGAGACTCAACCAATGTGGGGTGAAAGCCCCCAAAGAGCCAGGGCGTTGGCGGATTTAAAGCAGCAGGGTTGGTGATTCACAGACCCTGGGCCTCGTGGCTGCCTCGGACATGGGACACGCGGGCGCTGCCTGCGAAGCGGCTCCTGACTTGTGTCCTGTCTGTGTGTTATTTATTTCATGATTTTCTTTAAAAAAATCCTCAGTTTTGTCTTAACATGTGGAATTTCAGGTTTGAACGACTAATTACTTCAACGTGTCACCCTAGGGGTGAAAGACGGGTATCGGGGACCGCAGGATGCCATCTCACGTACCCTGGGGCACGTGGGTCCCCTTGGGGTCTCTGTGGAATCCTGGTCCCCTCCCATTTTAGGGGGCAGTGGTGGGGCCTCCCCCCACCCTACATCCTGGGACAAGAGCAGACGGCACATGGTCGCCCGACTCTGGTCTCGGTGAGCACACAGCTCTCCCTGTGGGCCTCCCGGTCTCTCCCACCTCAGCCTTCCGGAACTTACCATGAAGACAATGGAGACCAAGTTGGTGACGTAGGCCGTGAATCGATCTCTCCAGGTCAGCTTCACCTTGTCTGTCTGCAACAGGAAACAACACTGGGTCACCCGGTGGGAGCCAACGCGGTGGAAAGAGGTCTGTGCGCACACGGTTGGTGGGGGGGGGGGGGCGGTAAACGACTTGGACAAACGGAAATACTCAGAACACCTTTTAAACAAATGCTTGCAGGTGACGAGTGAAAGCAGACACCCAGCGTCCAGGGAGGGGTCTGGGGTCTGACCGCCTGTCAAACGACGTCACGTAATCGTAGAAATAGCGTTTAAAAACGTGGTTTGTCTGTGTCGAGGGCATCACGGCGCCCAATGCCTTTCTAAAATAGATGCTGAGACCCACGTCTGGAAGAAGGAGCCTGCGTCTGTGCAATGTCTCACGTGGGAGGTGAGACGATCTAAGGTGTTTTGCTCTCTGCCACCCAGACCATAATAGTTATTTTTCCTCGGCGGGACAAGCCGAAACAGGCAGCTGGCTCTGCAAGGTAACACCTGCCGGCCGCGTAGCAACGGTGAAATGTGGCGCCTCGTGGCCCCAAGGCCCCCTGGCTCGGGGGCAGCCCAGTCTGGCGGGCCCGTGCGTAGCAGCCGGTCACTAACCCGCGAGGTTTCAAGAACAGGGGTGGATTTTTAAATGAGGATATGCATGTATCTATCAGGTCAGACAGTGCAGGCAAGGGCATCGCATGGACGCCGCGCGTCCGGGGCCGGGGGGCATGCGTGTTAGTGGGAGAACGAGAAGCAGGCAGCTGTGACAAGCATGATTCACAAGCTCCAAGTAAGACCGGGCCCCCCCTCACCCCCCCACCCCGATCTCGGACCCACCGTAGCCATGCAGTGACATCTCAACACACGTCACAGCTCGACGGGTGAGGGAGGAAGGCACAGCGGCGTGGACATGAATGTTAAGAAAAGGACACAACAGACTTCGTGGAGGAGAAACACAACGGACTTCAATCGTCGGCAAACAAGCCAACACTCGCGTTGCCCCGAAGTAGAAAAGTACCAATTTCACCCCCGCCATGGCTGTCTTAACCCTCTGCTTCCATTTGTTTGGTGACTCCTCTGGAATATGCCGGCACTTCTGAGGGCGGGTGGGGGGAACAAGAGAGCACCGTGGGGTGAAGTGTGGCGAGGCTCGGGGGCCGGGGGGGCCTGACCCCAGCACCCCCTCGGCGGCAAGCTCGCCCTTCGTGGGCTGGCTGCCAAGGCTGATTCCGGTTCTGGGCGTTTGGAGCCACTAAGGGGTGGCGGCAAAAGTCTGGGCACGGGAGGCGGGGCTTTCGAGATGGACCCCAGCGGGGAAGGCCGGGCGGGGCTCTGAAACGCCCACTGGTGAGATGGCCACTGTCCTCCGGATGGCGGGCAGCAGGCAGAGACAGGTTACTCTGAGCAGTTTAGGCTGGTGGAGGAAGCCACGCCCAGAAGTGCAAGTTCATATGCCAAATAAGGGGCAGGTCTCTTTTTCTTTCATAACTGAATTTGGTGCCTTAGCTGGGGGAGCAATTACAGCCATAAAGCAGCCGCTAGGAGCCCAATGAAACAGAGGAGAAAATCCGGGGTGTGCCCGCCAGAAGCACACGAGCCCTGGGGTCACCACCGGAGTCCTGCGTGAAGGAACCGGGCACCTCTGCTGTTCTCATGACCATGGCCAAGAGGCGGAGTCACAGAGTCCGGGAGGCGCCCTTGGCACGTCTGCCCAGATCTGCCATTCGGGCTTGGTTAAGTCACTCGACTTCAATGGATGTCATGTGTGCCACAAAGCCTACTGCTAAGAGGTGCCACCGTGAAGCCACGTGGACGGTCTCGTGGGCCGTACGGGCTGGGGGAGGGGGAGGCCGCACTGAACGCAGGTCTCGGCGGCCCACCGTGAGGCCCGCAGGGCGGTGTCCACACTCTCCCTCTAGGAGGAGGCAGTGAGCTGGAGAGTCTAACGGGCCTGATCAAAGCTGCTGGGCGCCTGCTCCGAAGGCAGGGGGCACGAGAATGTGCACACGTTCTGATCTGTTTAACTGAAAAGACGACCTCATCTGGGGTGACGACTCACACCCTTGCGCTCATCTGCAATCCCACTCGAACCCTAAGAGCGTGTGCAGGGAGATGCACCCCCTTCCCGGCCGCAGCAGGGCTAAGCCGGGCTCTTGCCGGGCTCCAGGAGCTGTGGCCTGAGGGGGGGGTTCTGGCCAACTGCCGCTGCGGGCGCCTGGAGCGAGCAAACCCTGACCGCGGACCACGCTTAATAGGAGATGCCCAGGGTTCACCTCGTCTGCCCCAGAGGCCGAGAGCGTGACTGTGGCCCGGGGGGCTCGGGGAGCGTGTTTCCCACCCTCCAAGGACTGACAGAGACTTCCCCAGCCGCAGGTGGGGGCCGACGGGGGCCAGCGCACTCCACGTGTGTCCCAGGGCACGGAAAACACATTCCTTACAGCCACACACTCCAGAGGCTGCACACAGAAGGCAGCCAGTTTCAATGAGAGGTTCGGGGAGAAACAAAGTTGCTTATTATGCACAGGTGGTGACCTTGAGGATGTCATAAAGCACCTCTCTCTCATTCCCACGTCTGTGAGGGAAACGGAATTGGCTGTTTGCTCGGGGATGCTGGTTGGGCAAACCCTCCGACTGCATAATTCAACATCGAGTGCAAGGGGTGCGCACACTGAATGTCAAGTGTCCTGTGAAAAAGCTACAAAGCTACCTGGTCCTTGATGGTGACATGCTGGCTGAGGTCTGAGATGCCCCAGGACAGGTCAAGGAGGTGGACCCACAGCAGAGCTTGGCAAACTTCAGCCTGTGGACCAACCCTGGCCCCTTGCTTGTTTTGTTAGATAAAGTTTTATTGGAACCCTGCCCTGAGATATTTATTATCTGGCCCCTGTTTGGAGTCTGGGCCCTGGTCTACACCACGGACAAGTGCACGGTGCTTGCTGACTCCCAGGCTGCACCGCGGACGAGCACAGGGTGTTTGCTGACCCCTGGTCTACACTGCTGACGGGCGCACGGTGTTTTTAGGAAAGCCAACCGGCAGTGGCCACCGTACCTCTTTGTTTTTGGATTCTTTCCTCAGCGACTTCTCCAAAACTCTGGCTTCGTATTCGGCTCTGGGATGATCCTGTGAAAAAACCAAGTCGACACGGGGCCGTGTTAATTGTGCGATTGCGACCCTCCACGTGAGCCCACAAGACAAACTCAGCCCTTGGCCTCGGGCGCCCTGGGGGGCAGTTCATGGCTTGGCTGCTGTCCCCTTCCCGTCCAGGACTCTCGCCCTCGCTGGGAAGCCCGACCTCTGGGCGTCCGCGTCCGGAGGCAGGCGGTGTGCGCGAGGCTGCGGCCCCCGCCCGGCCGCCCACTTCCCGTCCTGAGCGCCCAGCCATGAACTGGCCCCCGAGACGGTCTGGCGGGGGCCGTGGGGGTCGGAAGGCGGCAGTGCGCGTCAGCGAGCGCGGGCAGACCCGAGGCGCCGGCCTCGGGCGAGCCCAGAGCAGGTCAGCGAGGGTGCGCTGGAACGGAAGAACAGGGTTAAGAGAGGCCCGGAGGAGGGGAGGAAGCAGAGAGCCCTGCCCGCGGTGGAAGCCGGGAGCCGCGCGGCACAGACGCATCGGTGCGGGAGGAGGCCCTCTTCCGGGGAGACAGGCCGCGGGGGGGCAGAGGAGTGACAAAAATCCAAACCTTGACCGCCTCCTTCGGGGAACCAGGACGTAAAAACAGAAACAAAAAGACTGCGTTACTTTGTGTTGTTTTTCTAAGAAACCGGCCGCGTCCTCTTGAGTTCACGTTCTTAACTAGGAAGAAAGCAGGTGGACGCAGTGGACCAGGCGGGCGCGGGGCTGCGCGGGTCGCTCCCGCAGCGCATGGGGCTTCGGGGCCCCAGGGGTGTCGGAGACTCGGGGGGAGGGCACGCAGGCCAGCCCACTGCGCTGGCTGCCAGCTCGGGGTCAGACCCCTCCTGGAGGGGCTGCCTTCCCCTCAGTGACCAGCTCCCCCGGGGGCCCTACAGCCTTGGGGGGGCGGAGGCTCCCTGTGGGGAACTCCTTCCAGTGGGGACCGGTGTCCAACGGCTCTGACAGCCACCCTAAAACCAAGCCTCTGAGCTGTCGGGGTGAAATCACGGGGAGGGTCCCCGAGGGGTGGAACAAAGGGGAACGCCCCCCACCATGGCCCCTTGCTTTCCCCCAACCACAGGCACATCACTCTAAATCTCCTAAAAGAATGCTAAGGCTGCTTTTTGTTCTACTTGGATATTTCCACAGAAAGTTACAAGGCCAGGTGGAGGCCAGGTGGACGGCTGGGCCGTGGGGCAGGGCGCCGGGTGCCACGTGGGGCTGCACCCCGAAAGAGCTGCCGCCGGTGGTGGGTAGCCGGGTGCCCGGTCCTGGGCCCTCCCCGCAGCCGGGCCCTGCTCCAGATCTACTGACCCTTTAAGACCCCCTGAAGCCCCCTGAGCGAGGACTACTCCTCAATGTGCATTTGAGAGGCGTGGACACCGAGGCGCAGAGATGCCCGGGTCACACGGCGAGGGCGGGACCCAGCCGCCTGGCGCCTGAGGACGCGTGTCTCTCTGAGCCGCTGTGGCTCTCTCACCCCATGTCTATCGACGGCACTGTCGGCACGCAGTCCGGCACCGGCCTCCCTGGCTGACCAGGAGCCTGCCCTTCCGTCCCAGGGGGCGTGGCGTGTGGGGAAACACAGAGGACTTAACGACATCAGTGGAAGATGATGTCCATGTCACAGTGAAAGTGCATGAGAGGTTTCTTAAAAAAAAAAAAGCATGTAGGGCTGCCTGGCTGGCTTAGTTGGAAGAGCACGTGATTCTTGACCTTGGGGTCATGAGTTCAAGCCTCAAGTTGGGGTACAGTTTATTTATTTTTAAATATTTTTATTTATTTCTAGCAGAGAGAGAGAGACAGCGTGAGCAGGGGAGGGTCAGAGAGAGAGGGAGTCACAGAATCTGAAACAGGCTCCAGGCTCTGAGCTGGCAGTCAGCACAGAGCCCGACGTGGGGCTCGAACCCACGAACCCTGAGATCATGACCTAAGCGAAAGTCGGACGCCTAACCGACTAAGCCACCCAGGCACCCCGTACTGTTTACTTTAAAAATAAAATAACACAGGGGCGCCTGGGTGGCTCAGTCGGTTAAGCGTCCGACTTTGGCTCAGGTCATGATCTCACAGTTCGTGGGTTCGAGCCCGGCGTCGGGCTCTGTGCTGACAGCTCCGAGCCTGGAGCTGCTTCGGATTCTGTGTCTCCCTCTCTCTTTGACCCTCCCCCGCTCACGCTCTGTCTCTCTCTCTCTCAGAAATAAATAAAACATTAAAAAAAATCAAAATAAAATAAAAACATGAAAAAAAATTAAGAAACCATAAAAAACAAACAACAAGCACGTGTTTCATAAAAGTCAGTTTCAGGGCCTGCGCTGCAGCCCTGCCCTGTCCGCGCTCAGTGTGGGGGCCGCTCTCCTTAGTCCGTCTCCTGCCCCAGGGAATTCTGGTCGGAGCTACCAATTCCGGATGGGGCAGTGGCCAGGGTGCCTCGGGGCAGGGGCCTCCCCAGCCAGGCCCGACTGCAGGCGGAGAGCGAGGCTGGCCCTCCTGGACCCGCCCGGCCACCCCAGACGTGACGGGGTCAGTGCGGGGGGGCCGGGCTGTCCTCGGGGGCTTCGAGACGGAAGGCTCGGAGATGCAGGCCCCAGGGAGACGGACGGGGCCGCCGCCGCCAGCAGCCGGGCCTAGGCTTCCCCGTGAGTCCCTGGGAGCTGACCGGCTCGGGGCAGGGGCGGGGCGTGGGGATCGCAGGGACAAACCCACTCACCTCCTCCTCCTCGAAGCCCGTGAGGTCCCAGCGGTAGTTGAGCCGCATCTGTTTCCGTTTCCAGTGCTCCATGAAGGTGGCGGCTGCGGGCAGGGAGAAAAGGCAAAGCCATCGATGACGTAGGGGCAGCGAGGGTGAGACCTTCACGCGAGTTACCCTGCTCTGCCGTCCCTCAGACCCTGCAGGACAGGGACACTCACTTTCCCGTTTTACAGACGGGAAAACTGAGGCACAGGAAGTCAAGTCCCCACCAAGGTTACTCGGCCAGCCAGCGAGAGGCCAGGCAGGGCTGCCCTCCTAACATCCTGCTTTGTCAATCTTGAGGACCCCTGGGTCACGGGTGGGTGTCCTGAGGTCACAAAAGGCGTGGTGTGGGCCAAGGTCACTCACTCAAGCTCTAAACTCATGGAGAGGGTCTGATGGCTGAGCTGCACTCTTAGCTGTAATCCCAACAGACTAGACATGGTTCAAATGCTGCCTCCTCCAGGAAGCCCCTGATCATCCCCCTCAGTGTCAGAAAAAACCCAACTCCTCTTGGGACCTCTCTAGCTCATGGTGTCCACACCACCTTCCATTATGAGCCTTTTCCCGGTACGGGGGCCCTTCTGGGAGCAGGGCAGGGATGACGCCCTGTCCGTCTGGATCCGCAGCCACAGCCCGGTGCCCGGCACAGACGGGGCTCAGGAGCACTCAGTGAACGAATGAAGGGCTCTTAGCACAAACACTGGGGACACGACTGCCTGAATCATCTATCACCAATGCCCCCTGCGCCCCAAAGGACGGTGGGCAGAGGCTGGGGGCCGGAGTCACGGTAAGGACGGTCACAACGTCAACCAGAGCGCTGAGCCCGCAGGCGCCTGGCACTGTTTGAAGAGCCGTCACACGAAGTCTGAGCTTGTGGAAACCTCCCAGGGGCGCCTGGGGCTCAGTCGGTCTAGTGTCCGACTTTGGCTCATGGTTCATGAGTTCGAGCCCCTCACTGGGACTCACTAACAGTGCAGAGCCTGCTTGGGATTCTCTCTCTCTGTGCCTCCCCCACTGGGGCACACTCTCTCCCTGCTCTCAAAATAAACTAATAAACTTAAAAAAGTAAACCCCCCAACAACAAGAGAACCCCAAACCCTCCCACAGTCATCACAGGAGGGAGGTGCCGTTCCATCTCCCGGTTTCCAGAGGAGGAAACTGAGGCTCGGAGGAGTGAAATGGCTTGTCTGGTAACCGGCGGTGTCAACGTGGAAATAAAGTGAGGTGGGCAGCTGCGGAGGTCTGGGCGGGCTCGGCGTGTGGTCCCTCACCGGGAAAGGACGCAGCTTCGGAACTGGCGAGGAGGGGGTCTGAGGCCAACTCGTCTCTGGATTCAGAGGGCTTTCAGTCATCCAGAAGTGCCCCTCCAGCCAGAAGTGCCCCCCTCCATCCAGAGCCCCACCCCCCCCCGTCCAGAAGCCCCCTCCTCTGCTTTAGGGAGGGGCGAGAACACGGCCTCTGAGCTCGCAGGAGTCTGTGCACAGCGGCGGCGCTTCAAGTACGCGCTGCTCAACCAGCCGGGTCCAGCCAGGAACCAGGAACCTCTCCAGGTCTTTCAAATGGGGGTGACTTAATCGTGGGAGCTGGCGGCCCAGGCAGTGGGAGAGCGGAGGGGACGAGGGCGGAGGGTGAGCGGCCGGAGGTCAGCAGCAGCAGGAGAGGCCGGGTCAGGGAGGTGGGATGACGGGAGGCAGCGCTGTCAGAGCCCACGCCCCCCCAGCAGCCCACATCACGGCGCGGGGGCGCTGGGGGCCAGGCCAGGGCGAGGCCGTACTACCTCCCAGGAAGGAAGACACAGGGGGTTTCTCCACCGACACCCGTTCCGGAAGGCACCCCCTCCTCCGTCTGCGCCTGGCGGCCCGCGGCAGCCCCTCCTTTCAGTCCTCGGACCGAGCGAGCGTGGGAACGTGCAGAAGGGCTGACCGCGCACCCCGAGAGTCGGCCTGTTTGCCTGCCCGTCCGGCCTCCTGGGTCCCCCCGCCCTGTTCCTGGGCTGGCCCATCACCACCGGCCACCTCCCCCTCCAGGGCCCACCCCCTCCCCTCCCCTCCCTTCCCCTCCCCCCTCCCCTCCCCTCACCCCCCCCTCCGCCAGTGCACTAACACCACCCCCTGCTCGTGAGGGCTCCCCTCTCCCGCGCTCCGGGCTCGGAACTCACCGACGGCTCAGCCCGACCCTCGCAAGCACGCCACGCGGTAGGAACGACTTCTACCCACGGATTTACCAACGACCACAGACACTCGGGGTTGAATGCAGTGCCCAAGGTCAAGTGCAGGATAACAGCAGGCCTGGGGTTTGAACTGGATTCTATTTGGCCCCAGGGTCTGCACTCACCCGCCGCACCCGACCGGTCCTCTGTGCCAGTACTTGACAGTCCTTCAGGGGATCAGCATCACTGAGAAAATGAGTACTCTGAGACTTAGAGCAAACTTGAATTGCCATTTTATGGACGAGGAGACAAAGGCACAGAGAGTTTAACTACTTTGCCCAAGGTTGCACAGCTGGGCACCTGGTATTTGCTTCTAGGCACGCTTGCTTAGAATTTCTGCATGAAATCTTATTTTTTTTTCCAAAAACATTTTTAATGTTTATTTTTGAAAGAGGAACAGAGTGCAAGCAGGGGAGGGGCAGAGAGAGAAGGAGACACCGAATCCGAAGCAGGTTCCAGGCTCTGAGCTGCCAGCACAGAGCCCGACATGGGGCTCGAACCCACGAACCGTGAGATCATGACCTGGGCCGAAGTCGGACTCAGCCAACCGACTGAGCCCCCAGGCGCTGTGAGGTCTTAAGACAGATACCAGGATCCTCCCCCAGAGGGCTCTGTGTCAAGGTCCAGGACTGGAGCCTGGAGAGGATTTGGTATACAGACCAGCCTCGTTTGGCCTTGGTTATGTTTAAGAAATAAGCACGTTTTATATAAAATAATTAATTTTCTGCCTCTTTAAAAATCAGAAGCATTGGCACCAAAAGGCGGGAGCTGAGGAGAGACCACCTATCGTCAAAGGTCAGGTGTGCCTTCCCCACTTGGCCACAGACCCCCCCCCGCGGCCCCCCCCGCGGTGCCCCCCGCGGCGCCCCTGCCGGACTCCGGCCCCGAGGGGTCCACTCTGGCTTTGGAGCGAAGGGCACGGTTACCAGGGACTTCAGGCGTGGCCGGCAGCAGGGGCCGGTCCCGGGGTCTCAGCTCAAGGGCCCCCGTGAGCGACTCGGCTGGGGAAGGCAGGAAGAAGCCGAGTGTCTGTCCTTCCCTCCTTCCCAGCCGTGCTGCTGCGCCCCACCCCCACCCCCACCACGTGGATCGCGGTGGCCCTTGCGAGGTCCCCTCACTTCCCTCACTTCCCCGTGAGGTTCTTGCTGGTGTGACAACTAAAGCAGCGGAAACCCGGACCCAGAACGGATGCCAGGATTGGCCGGGGGTCGGGGTGGTGGCTTCCCGCCCATCCGAGGGCAAGCCGTGTGCCGACCGTGGTCAGGGCACAGGACGGCAAAGCGGCCCCCGACCCACACCAGCGGGCCCGGGAGCCAAGCCCAGATCCAGAGCCCAGAGGGCAGCGGGGCGCAGAGACACAGCCGAGAGGGAGTCAGGCCAGGACGGAAGCAGGTGCGGGGACTACAATTCTTCTCTCTTCAAACACTTTTCTCGGCGACACAACGCGAGACAAACACGTTCTTGTAGGGGAGCCCAGAGGCGGCAGGCGAGCACAGGACTCAGGACCCACCCGGATCAAATCCCGGGGTGAGCCTGGGCACGTGACCCCCTCACCCCTGCAGCCCCAGGCCGCCTCCCCCCCGCCCCCATCCCCGGTCTACACAGCGGCCTTGATCACAGAGCCTGCCTCGGGGGCTTCAGGACTCCGCGACAGTCGTTCCCAGGACGTGGCTCTGGCGGGAGGATCCCCACTGTGTCTGGTTAGGATAAAAGGCCACATACGGTGGCGCCGCACTCACGGGAGCACCTAGAATGTTTACAGAGGGCGGACGGGACTGGTGGTGGCCGAGGGCTGGGGGCGCAGGGTGGGGCGCGGGGGCAGAACGAGGGCTGTAAGACTCAGACTCCAGGGCGCCCCCAGGCAGGCAGGCAGGCGAGGGTCCGCAAACAGCGACCCTTCCACCGTCCGTCCTCCCGAACCTTTGCCACCTGCTCCGAGCGCGTCCGGGGCCCTGGGGGGACGCAGGGCTCAGCGTCAGCCCAGGGGAGCATCCTCCTTGAAAGGCCGCCCACCAGAGCTCCTGCGTGGGGGCCAGACGCACCCCGAGAGCCGCAGCAGCAGCGGGGATCCTGAAAACGCCCGTGAGCACAGACGGGGGCGGGGCTCCGGCACAACGGCCCCCAGCCCTTCTTTTCCTTGCGAGTCCCCCCTACTTATTCACTGCGAGCAAGAGTTACCGCGTGAGCCCCCGCCAGCCGAACAGCTCTCCCTACACACCTCACCCCCGGCTTGGGGGAACCGGCCGGGAAGCCCGGGGACGGATCTCAATCACAGCTCTGCCATCTCATCAAGGCCAGAGCCCCCCTTTCCGCACCTTCCCGCAGCCGGGGCTCAATTCAAACAACCTGCTTTGTTCTGCCCAGAACTGACAAGCCGTTAAAACCCCATCATTATGCCCTAATTTCAGAAAATCGATCCCAGCAAATAGCTAAGTGAGGCTCCAAGTTGCTTTGTGTGACACCTTATAAATGTCACAAGTCCCAGGGGGCAGGTTGCTGACGCCTCCGGGACCAGCGTGTCAGCGCCCAGCACGCGGACCGCACTGCGAGCGGGCGCGGGGTTGGAGCCTTGGAGCCGCAGGAGGGGACGTCGCCCGCTCCCCCTACAGGCAGGGGCGGGTCTGGGGGCGGTGCCATTGTGCCAGCAGATATGGCAGCAGCCAGAGGACACAAGGAAGGACACAGGGAAGACGACGTACCGGTGGGAAAACGATCCCCTAGAGGGAAACGAACAAATAATTGAACAAGGGATTTAAAGAAAACGAACCTCGAGGACTCGGTTGATTAGCCGTGACAGTGATTGTGCAAAGGCCGGACAGAGGGGGCGTCGCCGCCTCCCTCAGCCCGCTG